GGTCAATTAAATTTTGTCATTGGACAAATTCAGCATTGCTCTATGATTGGTCAACTGGTTTCTGACTCTCTAAATATGTGCAAAATAAATTGAAATAATTGGAAATGACTTTAAATAATTAATCCTTTACTCTTTAATAGTTCCTGTTGCTGAATTAATTCAATTTCAATAGTTAATTGATAAAATATTGATATGCGAGTATATCTATGTATGTCTTCGTCTGAGACAATTCGTATATTACGAAATAATTACGATTACTTAATAAATGGCTAGTTACGCCTTAGTTTAGTTTGAAATAATTACTGGAAGTTAAATTAACATCGTTAGTTGCAAAATATCTCGCATATTAAAATTTTGTCCTTTGTGATACTTTGATGCGTCTTAACGCTATACAATCTATTTGGAACAACTTTCACTTTATCTTTTGCTGATAATTAATTTGGAATCTCTGTATCGAGAATGTACTGAAATAATTGTTTATATTGCCTTTTGGCTAAGTTTATTAATTTTGATATGTCTGTCTTTGTCTTGCCCATGTGCTTTGTTCCAAATATCTTACATGCTTGAAATAATTATATATCATGCAAAACAATTAGGTTGTCTAAACCTTATCAAGAAATAAGTTTTTAACTGAATAATATCCAATACTTGCTAATTGATAGCTTCTTACCTTCTAGGTCTTAATTTACTTATACTTTATGTTTCAAGGTCACCCATCATTCTCAGCGATATTTATTTTGGTAAGTACCTTACTTTTCTTATTTGTATTAATTCATGTTTTGTCCATATAGCTTATTTTAATTATTCCTTTCTTTCAGGTTGCTACGCTGGAATGGTTTGGATCGCCTTGCTGCTCTGAGGATTAGGTAGGTTGAGTATTATATTTATTTTTCATGTTTTTCCTCTTTTTACTTTTCTGATAATCTATTTCTTTTATTAATAAAACATATAAAATTAAAATGTCGAGTATTCCTTTAAACTCAATTAATGTGTACCCTTAGTATCTAGGTAAGTATAAAATAATTATTGCTTTTTCTTTTATGTGACTCTTGCACCTCGGATAGGACTTGACCTTGTACAAAATATAATCGTATAAATAAATGAAAATAATGAATAAAATAATTAAATGCTAGTCATGATGGTCTTGTCGTCCTACTCCTGCTGATTGGCATACGCTGTTCGCGTTGTTGTCTCCGGCTGCTTCGCATCGTCCGGAAATTGTTTCCTTTCCGCCACTGTCATCCTTGGCGTTACATTCTATAAAGTTTTTATATTTCTTTTGTAGCTAGTTATATATATATATGGAGAAAAATGCACTCGGTTGCAAGGTTAGGTTAGGTTAAGTCCGATACTAAATATTCACACAAATAAGAATACTTACACCATAATAATAGTTTTTTATTGCACTTCGACACTGTATTGTCTAAATTTTTTGTCTATGTATGTACATACGTTATAAAACTATATCTTATATTAGGTCTGTTTGCGTTGCTTGCACTTTTTGCACTTGGCATCTTCGCTTTCTCTCTTTTCAAAACTAAATATATATCTATCTCATTTTAAGTGCAAAAATAATTGAGAATTTCATACAACGCGAACAGACCTATTGATGCATTAAATGCAATAGTGAATTAAAATGGCGCTCTGATCACGTGATTTAGACAGCCAATCAGACCATACCCTTCAATAACGCATCTCTGTTTTCTAGGTTTCTTGCTTTAATCAAGTCGTTCAAGTTGGCTATTGGCCAATTTCACCGATTATGACTTAAGATAGTTTAGAACTTCTGATTTGCGGCTTATTGTAGAAGGGCTATAAGACCGCTTAAGTACTAGAGACCCTATAATAAGTCTGGCCATCAGAAATCTGATTTTAGAGTGTTTTGATTGGTCCGCCATTTTTTCTCTAATCGAAGAGGGGGTAGCTTCAGCGCAAGCGTATAAGAAATTGCATTCGGCGTGACGCTTTCAACGTTTTCATCTTTGTTTTACATTTAAAAACCGATAAAGATATAGAATAATAATTAAAATTGCTTAAAGGGCATGTACGTCAAAATCGAACGCAGCCTAAGATATTACTAATCTCAGAAACACTGACAAAACATCGGTTCGAATAATATTCGATTATTCATGCAGATTTCATTGTTTAAACTATAACTAATATTTTTAAATATATGCAATGTATAATGTTTGTAACACGTAGATGATAATAAAAGATAAGTACAAAGTGAAAATTTTACCATTTGATAATAAAGGAAAAAATTAAACAAATAAAATTTAACGTTTTATTTCATTACGTTATGCATTGCCATTGATTTGCTATCATAATATTTGCGTTTAATAATTCTTTTTTTATTCGCTATCCGCAATCTATAAATTGCATATCTATTAGCTACTTTTTTATCCAAATTATGACACAATAAAATATGACTGTTGCTTAAAACATTTAAAAATTTATTAACTAAATAATTTTTATAATCGCGATTTATAGAGCACGTTGAGTTGTGATGCTGTCTAAATATATATTCCAAGTTTTTAAATAACTCAAACGTTTCATTACTTACAAAAAACAAAGTATTATTTTTATAACTTCGCAGTCGCACTAATTTTGCATTTACTGACATATTTCGATGTGTGGAACCTAAACTTTGAATACAACGCTCACAAATTTTTGTGTTTTTTTAAATGTTTGTTACAATGTATCCAGCGATACTATATAAAATATTACGTTCGATACAGTTCAATTCTTTTACATTCTGAGCTACTGGCACATATAACAAATCATCGTTTAATTTATGAAACTCAGATTTGTGTTCGTTAATAGCATCTATAAAACCAGTTACATATTGCGCATCGTCTTCTTCATAATTACCTTGAGAAACTGGACGCATATACATATAAAGAAGTGGTAATTAATTAAAGATAATTATTAAAGATAATAAGATTATTTTTAAATTGTAGAGCGTTTAATGTTACATTTTTGCTTCGAAGAACAGAAAAAAGATTCTCTACGCTGTCCTGCGTTAATCTACCTGTCAGTAAGAATAGAAATTTTTTTTCAGTAAAGAGATAATCTGCCAATTCTAAAATAGATTTAGTTGAAATAATCACTCCCTTCTGAACAGGTTTAAATTTCCCTTTCTTACCAACACGAAAATTACAAAATATCTCTATAACTTCATTTAAAAAAGAAACAGTATCTTTATACTTCGCCAAGTTTTTTGTACCCAAAGAGATGCTGCAGTGCCTTGAAGTCATAACTGTATACCATCTTACTATTATTTTGACAAAAAATGCTGTAGTAATGTATTCCGGTGTCGAATTTTCATTGGCTAAATACTCCAAAGCAGTGCTCACTTCATGACTCAATAAATTTTTCGCTTTATTGATACGCATTTTATCAAAATTGTTATTCGTATCGACATCGTTTATAGATAATTTTGGCGTTAATAAAAATTGAAATTCTTGTTGCGCTAAAATTAATTCTTTGAAGTGTTTTGCTTGTACTAAATTTGTTGGCAAATTATATTTGCGTACAATGTTGTCGAGTAATATGAGGAACTTATTATTTAAAAGGCACGTTTTTAAATTTTTTAATAAGTGCGATACGTCTGCAATTACATACAAATTACGATTTGATTCACATGGATGTGTGATGTAATTTACAATTCTGTTATATTTTCCAGCTGTAATCCCCATTGCTTTCCATAAAGCCTGGTTGCCTGATCCCATATCAGACGTAATAGTATTTACGGTAAGACCGATTGATTTGGCTCTGTGAAGTATATCAATTATTATTGGGTATAACGTAGCACCTTTAAAAGCATCACCCGTCAAATAATAGCCAATAACCTGTTTCCAACGACATGCAATACCACATAACATAAATACCAAAGCATGTGATGCTGTACCTGTATGGCCTGGCAAAGTTACAGCTCCAATGTTACTTTGAGAAGAATTATCAAACTTCTGATCTGATGAAATGCTGATTTCATCGAAAACTAAACAACATTCCCTATCGATTTCGTTCCAATTCGATACCTTCAATTTTAAAAAATTGAAAATATCGTCCGAAATTCCGCTTTCAAATTTAAAAGTTTCTAGTTTTCTTCGCAACGTTCGAAGCCCTGGCAAAGGGAACTTCTGACGACGAAGTTCTTCGTAACCAGTGGTGCCACAAGAAAATTTTAATTTAAGTGCCTTCATAATTGATTTGTTGCTCCAGTTTTGTACTCTTCTATTGTTCTTCAAAGCTGTAATTTGATCGTCAGTAAATATTTCTTGTAGTCTGCTTAACAAGGCCGTATTGATATCATTTCGTTTCTTTTTCAGTTTTATCGCCTTTAAGTCACGTCGTACAGTATGAATGCAGTTTTTATATTTTCTTAGTTTGGTAATTTGTTTTTTAATTATACGTGATTGTTCACATATAATTTGTTTCTGTTTTTTTATTGTACGTGATATGTTTTTAAGCTCATTATTTTTACATTCGGTACTTTCCACTTGCAGTTTATTTTCACAATCGTTATTTCTTCTTTCATTTTGCACTGATAGATCATGTTCATGAACACAACCCACTTCATCATTCAATGAAGCAGGTCTGACGTCATTATTCAGCGAAGTAGGTCTGACGTTATTATTCAATGAAGCAGGTCTGACGTCATTATTCAGCGAAGCAGATCTGACGTTATCATTCAATGAAGCAGGTCTGACGTCATCATTCAGCGAAGCAAATCTAACGTTTTCGTGATAACTTTTCTGAAATCAAATATGGACTTCTATTGGAGACGTGCCTTTATCTTAATAAAGGAGGATGTTAAAAAAAGATACATTTCTGTAAAAAAAAAGAAATACTGTGTATAAAGGAAATACTGTTTTTTTTTGTAGATGGTAATTCTAGATAAAATTGACTGCGTTC